TATGTTCAAGACAGCCATGGAAATAGTTTTAACGCTAGCCAGTACGTTGGAAAACGTGAGCAATAAAAGAAAGAAACATTTATTACTAGCATTGGTTCGTTTGTTTTTGTTTATGTGGACAAGTCATAGAAATGGTTCATTGTAAGCAAAGAAACACACATCCACTATCATTAATAAATTACTTCAAATTATTCTTCAGCACAAAGTACGCAAATTATTCTTGAGATTATAAATATATACTGGCCTGTAAATCGCCACTCTCTCTTCCCTACCCTACCCCCTCAAACAAAAAGAAAGGGAAATAGATTTGATGATTTGATTATGGTTAAGGGAAGGCTAGACACAGGCTCAAAAATATGTTGGCGACCAATACGAAAGCGATCCTCGCAGTTTTGAACAAAATTTAAATAGTGGTGAAAATAAGGCCTGAAAAATGAGGAAAATCCAAAACTGTTGGAGACTGTAAAAACTGATGACATTGGAACTTTGCAAATCTTGTAGCTCACTAAGGCAAGTCATTTTATTTGCGAAGGCAAAGGAATTGAAGAGGGATTAGTAAACCGTGAAGCACAATTTACTTTGACCTCAAGAAACGGTCGTGGAAAACAGTGATACAATGAACGAGACCATGTCACGGTGGAGATCAGAGATGAACGAGGACGAGAATGCGCTACGGAAGTAGAAATAAATGACCATGAAGATGGACTCTACCAGATCAAGTATACTCCAAAAGATGAAGGAAGGTGTAAAGTGAGTGTAAAGGTAAATGGGGAACATATTGATAGAAGTCCTTTTACCGTACTCGTAAAACCATTTCAATTTAAACCTGTTTTAACATTCGGTGAGAAAGGTTCGGCTTTAGAAATGTTCGACTGTCCTTTTGGGCTGGCAGTAAATGCTGGGGATGAGATAGCTGTAACTGATTTTGACAACCATAGAATTAAAATCTTTAACAGTGACGGAAATTACATAAGATCCTTTGGTCATCAGGGTAACAAAGCGGGAGAATTTTATTGTCCTAAAGGAATAGCATTTCATAATAACGGGAATATTTTCGTCGCAGACAGTTCGAATCGAGTTCAGATTTTCGATGGGAGGGGTGAGTACGTAGGAAGCTTTGGTGGCCGCGGAAACCTTGATAAACACACAAATGATCCTTGGGGTTTATCTTTAGACATTGACGGTAATGTGATCGTTGTTGATAAAGGAAACAGCGTTATTAAAATCTTTGCTCCCGATGGAAAGTTCCCTATGAAAATAGGTGGGAAGGGCTCTTTGGAATCTCCCAGGCACTGTATTCAGTATGATAGCTATCTCATAGTGTCAGACAGTGGTGAACATTGTATCAAAGTTTTTGACAGGAATGGAAACTTTCAGTACAAGTTCAGGAAGAAAGGTAGTGGGGACGGGGAGTTTGATACTCCTTGTTGTATGGCAGTGAACAAATCAGGACACCTGATGGTCTGTGATGAATGTAATCACAGAGTACAAGTGTTTGAGCCGAGTAGTAAGTTTATTGGCAAGTTTGGAGCAAAGGAGAGCAATGAAGGAGAGTTTAAAAATCCTCTGTCCCTTGCAATTTTAAGTAACGACCAAATTGTTGTAAGTGTTTTCAATAACCATCGTATTCAGTTATTTGAATGAGAGAAACATAAATATCAGGTGAGGTGCAATAAGCACACAGTGACAGAAAACTGTTTGCATGCCTGTTTAAATCGCCGGTCAAAAGTCAGACATGCGCAAGTGGATTAATTTTCCCCAGCTGCGCGCTAATTCCCCATAAGAGGAAAACAAAAGAAATAATCGGTTTCATGTAAAATGAAAAAGGAAAGAAAAGTTTGACACGTTTATAGAAATCTGTTAATAGAAATATGAGTAAGGAAAAGTAGCATTAGGAAATCTGTTAAAGAAAACGAAAAGGGAAAACTCAGGTCTTTTTAACTCAAAAGAGTAATCAATTATGAGTATTTTGTCAATTTACCAAAGCGTTACACAGTTTTAAAACACCTTGCCTTTTTCGCATGTACAAAAGAAACAGAAGAATCTTATAATGCTGTGTTCCTAACTTAATTCACTTACAATTATAACTCGACTTGATCCTGCTGACTGACCAATAATTCTTAATACATCCTATTGCTTGATGCGTCTGTTGAAATCTTCTCCGCTCTCTGCTGCCACAATGGTCAGCAAGCGATCCTATTCGGTATTTTCATGCAAGACTTTTTAACTTTTTCTCTGTCTTTGTTTTGCAAATAGAATACCAATAAATATAGAATGAGACAAATGGTCACATTTCAAAATCAAGTCGCCCTGAAAGAGAGATGTTGGGCCGCAATTTTATCCTCTTTGCCGTTTCAAAGTTCACAGACACGTAGACATTTGTTTACTGAGTTGGCCGGTTTACACAGCAAACTTTCTCTAATCCTATAGTTTAGCCGTCCCAATCTTCTTCATAACGCAGGCAGCCAACGCAAGCGTCGTGCCTTTTACCCTAGCGACTCCCGCGCTGCACGCCTTATGAAGAAGAATGGAGAAAAGTAAAATTATCTATAGTTAGTGGGCGATTGATATCAACTATGACGTCAGTTCTGTCGGGGATGACACTTAATAAATTTTATGCCCACTGACCACGGTTGTGGGGGAGGGGGAGTCTTAAGGGGGTCCAAACTTTGATTAAAAAAGAAAAAAAAAATTATTACATTATAGCGTAAATAAGCTAAGAAGTATTTGAAGATAGATATTTTTCAGATTTTCAAGCCGAATAATTCTATGCGATCCTGTCGTTGGAATAATTTTGGTCTCAGACTAGTAGTGGAAATACCCATAGGTCTGATGAAGTTGGGGGGGATGGGGGTCCGGACCCCTTAGGCCCTCCCCCTGTGTTTGCCACTGCTTTCTTATTATCAGAGTAAGAGAAACAAAGTTTCAAAAGTTGGCTTGTGACGTTGAAGTGCAGGCTCTAAGGGGTTGCATCGAATTTATTCCGAAAATATTTTGCATTTAATTAGATGAAGAGCATCAGAGAGCTTGCCTTTGATGCATTAAGGAAACCTTAAGTTCTACGTTCAGTACTTATAATTTTCTGAGATCAATTTTTAAATTTTTGTAGCAAAACTGGTAGTCGATAATAATTATTTAAGACCACATGTATTTATATCCTGTGTGTAAACAAGAGAAAATAAATTGTCATTATTTTCTATTGATGTTAACCATTACAATTTGATAAGTTGATAGTTTAGAAGGAGGCTACTGATGTCAAGTGACACAGAACTTATGCAGAAGTGTTATCTTTGTTCGACGCTAATGGCTTATATGAAAATCTTGGTAATTAATTAGATATACTTGTTTGTTATAGTTGCTTCAGCACAAACTTGTGATCAAACTCATCTGTACATAATAAGACTAGTATAATAGCTACATATGGTATCTTGTTCAATACTAAATTCACTGTACATGAAAGTAACCATAGATTGGTGTATTCAAGTGGATATTAGAACAATTTTCAATGCAGTGTAAAACAAACAAACAAAAAAAAAAAAGGAGATTGTTTTGGTTTTGCTTTACTTCGCACTTTGATTGGTCCAGGAAACTCGTGTCACTCAACCAATCAGTTGCTAAACTAAAACCAATCACGACTTGGTCGCCCGCGTTTACCTGCACCTCAGGCAGTTTGGTTGTTCTTAATTAAGTTCTGATTGGCTCTTAAAAGTATTTTACTTTCCTTTCTTCTGATTGGCTATTCTAATTTCTTTGGTTTTTGTTTCACAACACTCAATTGAAAAGTGCTCTATGCAACGATAGAGTAATTTATCACTCGAATTTTACATTACGTTCTAATTCGCTTCGCTCAAACGAACGTAAATTATTTCACCCTTAAATTCCCGTAATAAATAAATCAGACAAGCAGTATGGTAGGATGCGTAAGCGGATCCAAAACACAGTTTATTACATCTAGATTAAATCATAATACAAAAATTATTACTCTTTTTTTTTTTTTTTTTGCAATTCATTTGTAGAAGTCTTTATTGTTTACGCTAATATAAAGAATAAAGGAACGTGTGAAATATATAAATGCTCAATGATATTATATTAATTACATTAAATACATTAAATCATAATACAAAAATTATTACTTTTTTTTTTTTTTTTTTTACAATTCATTAGTAGAACGCTTTATTGTTTACGCTAATATAAAGAATAAAGGAACGTGTGAAATATAAATGCTCAATGATATTACAAGCGTAAATACTTAGTTACTTGTAATTTATTCTCAAGGCTCTCTTCAATGTACATGTCCTTGGCAGAGTCAGACTTCCATCTACCATGTATTTTAAGTAGTCTTTCTGAAATCGAATGACCACTATTACGCACTACAGATGTAATGCCACCGGATCTTAAGCTATGAAGACCGAAATTATTAGGATTATAACCTAGCTTACTCAGGCAATCTCTAAGAATTTCCCTGCATCTAGTATAAGAAATCTTACCACTTCTCAGGGTATAGCTAGAATTACTAGGGTGAAAAGTTAGAGGTCTAAATAAAGGAAGATTACTATTGCTGTCAATCCCAGAAAGGTTCAAATACCTTCTTAAGACACCGACAGGACAGTACTTAGATGTGAAAGCGCTAATATAGACATAATTCCCTTCCCTATAAATATCGGTTTTGCTTCGAGGCAAGAAAATCCTTATATAATCATTATGAAACTCAATATGCTTCGGAACGATATTACATAAATCGTCATACCGAAGAAAACCTGCGAAAGCTAATGAGCATAATGCGGCAATACGAAGATCCTTCAGATTAGAATCTTCCTTGTTATGAACGTCTAATATGTTCCTAATGATTTCTGTGGTAATGGGTTTCTTTTTCACAATCGGTTGTGACCTCTGGCGTTTGGCAGATTCGATAATATTTCTGCAAAAATCGCTATCCAATGGGTTACAATCAAGACTAGGAACAAATGAATGTAGCCATTTAAGGGCGGCGTGGGTCAAAATTACAGAAGGACTGGAACTAAAAGACTGTTGGACTTCGAACCGACACCTGAAGGAAAAGGTAGCTCAAAGCTTATTTGCTTGCTTTTACACCAATCCAAAAACTTCTTAATAACTCGCATATAGGATTTTGCTGTAGCATCTGCTCTGGATTTCAACATCACGTCTAAAACCTGATTGGCATTCAATGACGAAAGAACTGGGTAACCTTTCCATGACTTGCTTGAAGAAATTATCTGAAAAAACAAGAACACAACATACAAACTAAAAGGAACAAAACGCACGCCCTTAGTGTAGTGACAATAAGATTGGAATCCCAAAGTGCCAAATGGATCATTGTTTGGGCCAGAGTCTGGGCCAGTGCCCTTAAAACAAGACATCATTGTTAGGCCAGTGCCACAAGATGCAAATCATTGTTTCGGCCAGTGCCTCATGAAATCAAACCATTGCTTAGGCCAGTGCCAACACACTTGATGAACAAGTCCAAATTGTTACTCAGTAAATTCCATTCTTCAGGCGATAATATAGCCTGTGAATTGGTGAGACCCTAACAGCGAATTATGATTTCTTCCATGAATAAGAACCTCCCTCCCAGCACGAATAACGTGGGCCACAAGAGAATCACCATATCTGTGCATAATTAATGACCAGTAATGAGCTGAAGGCCAGAAGGGTACAACAAGTGTACCAACGGCATACTGACACTTCATATAATGCAAAACACGTGGAACAATACCCACGGGTGGAACCACTGGACAATTTTCCCCGCCAAGAGGCTGAAAGAAGAAATCGACACCTGCAGTATTGGGATTCCAGAATCTTGAAAAGAATTTGGGGAGTTTGTGATTGTAATAATTGGCCAAAAAAATCAACAGTATGGGGCCCCCAACGTTCATCAAGAAATAGAAAAAATTCGTTGGTAATTTGCCAATCATCGGTATCAATTAATCGACTTATATAGTCAGCTTGCTGATTCAAAGTACGTGGAATCCACTGGACCTCTAAATGAATCCCCGACTGGATACAAATACTGAAAATGCTCCGCGCGATCCTGTGTAGATCAAGTTTCATGCTGCCCACTTCAACAATCTTGGCAGCGGCTTGGCTGTCAGTATACCACTTAACGTGCGATCCTTTAAGTACAGGGGCAAATGATTTCAATGAAAATTCAATAACAGATAACTCTTTCCATGTTGAGCTTCGCAAACTTTCGTTCTCCGTCCACAATTTGTGACACACAAAGTCATTGTTAAAGTCAATGAATGCACCGCCTCCAGTGGCGCTAGCATCTGAGTAAACAAAATAACTAGGATCTTTACTTACAAAGCAATCTCTGCTGTTGAGGTTAATCAAATCATCTTTCCAAAAATATAATTCCTCTCTGCAATAATCATCAAGAAAAAATACTGAATCCCAATTATCTATACACAAGGTAGACATAACGCAATGTCTGGTCATTATCCTACCAATGTTTCCAACCACAGGCGCAGTAGAGATAATTTGACCCGTGAAAGAAGCCAGCTCTCTAGCAGAAAGTTTAAAATCGGCCTCAATAATACGATCTATTGTGTTGGTAATCTTAGTAATTCTTCTCTCTACAATTCTTAGAGTACCCAATAAAGAATTCCAGGTTATACCTAACCAGTCCAAAGTTTGAGTAGGTTCCCATACCGATTTCTCTTCATTCACTACAAAACCCGCACCATACAAGTCCTGCCTTACGGTTTGGGCCTTAAGAAGACAACCTTCTTTGTCCTGAACTATCGCCCAACCATTATCTAAGAAAATATCTACGCAAGTACCTTGTATTCTCCAATATTTCTCTAAAGGTTTAAGAAGCTTTGTGAAAATATAGGGAGCTGTAGACAAACCAAACGGAAGAACGGTGAAAACGTAAAATACTTCGTTATTGGAATCTGGAGCACGCCAACAAAACCCCAAAAACGTTTGGTGATCCTGCGAAATTTCGATATGGTGATAGCCACTTTTCAAGTCAAAAGAAAACATGTACGAATCCTTGGCAAAATAAGCCATAGCAATTTTCCAATCCTCATATTTGATTCTTTGTTTAATTAGGGACCTGTTAACGTGACGTAAATCAAGAATTAATCTCTTTTTGCCACATGGCTGAATAGATACTGATAAGGGGTTGACAATAAAAGGTTGCTTATCAACCCTACAAACCCGACCTGAATTAACTAACTCAAGAACAGCTTGGTCAACGAAATTAGCATGAAGTCGAGCAGACTTATTATTCTTTAGCCTTACAGCTAATGGAAAGCTAGCAAATGGTAATTTGTAGCCCTTTTCAATAATAGTCAGAATGAAATTTGGAGCACCAATAGATCTCCAAAACCCTAGATTTTTCTTCAAATTACACTTAACGGTTAAAGACTGTCCGCTTTCAAGTTCGTATTTCTGTACGATTTCTTCTACCTGTGCCAAGTCCTCTTCACTGCTTTGATTGGTATTGAGATGAATAGCTTCCGGCTGGCTTGTTGCAGGAGAGTCCAGGGTAAGTATTGTAGTTGGGAAACTGGTAACTTCCTGGCCAGAACATGGATCTGCAGTCATTAGCCCAGTGCCCAAGTTTTCCACACTTGTAGCAACGTGAGTAGTCGCAAGAAGCGCCTCTACGGCCTGAATAAAAGTAGTAAAAGAAAACGTAGTAAGCAGAGGGGGGGGGGGGGGGGGGGTGGGAAAACACTCGCGAAAAGATGTAAAACTGTGAAGTAGGAAACCGCAAACGTGAATGGTGTACAGTGAACAGTAGAGAGTATAAGTACTAGAAGCCGACCAATAACAGCGTAGAAGGCACAATAAAGGGAGTGGCAGGTGTCAAAGCGAAACAAGTACGCCTAATTACTTCGAATACCAGGGGAAAATACATTTTTCCTTCGCTTTAGAATAACGCTGAAAGTGACGTCATACTTTCTAAGTATTGATACTCTTATACTGTACTTTCAAACTATTAATTTTGAGGACCATACCACTGGGGCTGTTCTGAGGTTATTGTAACTTTTTTGAATTAAGTCTGTGACAATTGTTCCATTATCAGTGAGTACCCGCCCCACCCCACTCTCACTACACAATGAGGTCATTAAGCGCAGAGCAACCTTAATTCACAATACGCAGCTGAACTAGAAATATTTCAGTGAGGTATTGCTCTAGCTGGAAAAAAAGGGAGAAATCGATTACTTTACATTTAAGAGTCAATTGGTCATATTAAAAGAGGAAAGACCTGTGGAACATATTACGGTTGCAATGCAACAGCAATGGTGATGAGGGCAGCTTTTTACTGCTTACCAGTTTCGATCATTGCCTGCATGACTTTCCTGTGGAAGGTGTCAAGTGAGTGTACAGGTAAACGGGGAACATAATCACCAGAGTCCTTTTCTCGTACTCGTAAAACCATTTCAATTCAAACCTGTTTTAACTTTCGGTGAGGAAGGTTCGTCTTTAGATATGCTTAACAATCCTTTTGGGCTGGCTGTAAATGCCAGGGATGAGATAGCTGTTTCTGATAATTTCAATCACACAATTAAAATCTTTAACAATGATGGAAATTACTTAGGATCCTTTGGTCGTTGGGGTAGCGAAGTGGGAGAACTTGAATATCCTAGAGGAATAGTTTTTCATAATAATGGGAATATTTTTGTCGCGGACAATTCGAGTCGAATTCAGATTTTCAATGGGAGGGGTGAGTTCGTAAGAAGCTTTGGTGGCCGTGGACATCTTGATAACCAACTCAATGATCCTTTGGGTTTATCTGTAGACAGTGACGGTAATGTGATCGTTGCTGATAGAGGAAACAGCTTAATCAAAATCTTTTCTCCCGATGGAAAGTTCCTTATGAAAATAGGTGGGCAGGGCTTTTTTAAATCGCCTTTCCACTGTATTCAGTATGATAGATATTTCATAGTGTCAGACAACGATGAAGATTGTATCAAAGTTTTTGACAGGAATGGAAACTTTCAATACGCGTTTGGAAAGGAAGGTAGAGGGGACAGGGAATTTCGCGGTCCTTGTTTTATAGCAGTGAACAAATCAGGACACCTGATGATCTGTGATGGAAGTAACGACAGAGTACAAGTGTTTGAGCCCAATGGTAAGTTTATTGGCAAGTTTGGAACAAAGGGTAGCAGTTTAGGAGAGTTTAAATTTCCTACGTCCCTGGCAATTTTAAGTAACGACCGAATTGCTGTATGTGATCACGATAACCATCGTATTCAGATCTTTGAATGAAATAAACATCAACATAAGGTCAGGAGCTATAAGCATATAGTGAAAGAAAAATGTTTTCATGCCGGTTTAGCTCAACGGTCTTCAGTCGGATACGCGGATCAATTTTGACCAGCTGCGCGCTAATTCTCCCTTAAAGGTAATCATGAAAAATAATCGGTGTCATGTAAAATGCACGAAAAAAATTTGACACGTTCATAAAAATCTTTAAATAGAAACATAAATAGGGAAAAGGAGAACTAGAAGGAAAACTTAGGGCTTTTTTGACTCAAAGCTTATTCAGTCAGGGGTATTTTTGTTGAATTCCCAAAAACATTATTACTCTTTTAAGCTTTTCTTGCTGGAACACAAGGACCGGAGGAATCTCTCTTGGCTGTATCCCTAACTTAACTCACACTACAATTGCAACTCGACTCGATCTTGTTGACTGACCGTTGATACACTTTAAGCGAACCATTCCAGGCGAACCTTACACGGCCTTCGTTTAGCAGATAGGTCTTTAACAGATGCAGAGTGAGACAAACGGTCAATCCGCAAGACTAAGTCAAGTGGCAGTTATAAGGTAGCTGTAACTGAAAATACTGTTAAATACAACCACTCTTCTCCCTTTCGCTTGAGAGGCTGTTTTAATCAACTTTGTGTGTACTAACATATACACGATCTCAACTTTGCCATAAAAAACCCTGCAATTGAGATGTAGGGCCATTTTCGCCGCTTCCAGCATTGCCCTCTCAACGTACACGCTTACGCAGATGTTGACCGCCGAGTTTTTTCACTCTACATAGGAGACTTCCTTCATTTCTGTAGGTTACTCTTCCCAGTCCTCTTCCTAACATTGAAAACTCACACAGCGTGCGTTATGAAGAAGACTGGGAACAACTTAATTCGTTTGCAAGACATTTGTGGGGTAGCTTTGTTATATTATATTGGCTGTCTTATGATCAGCGTAGGAGAGAACAAAGTTTATAAGTTGGCTCGTGACGTTGGTCAATAGTCCTTAAAAAGTTGCGTCAAACTTATTCCACAAATGTTTTACATCTAATTAGATGAAGAGCATCAGCAGTTGAGCCTTTGATGCAGATAAGGAAACATTAGATTCTACGTTCGGTACATGAAAGTTTCTGTTTTCAATTATGATTTTTTGGTAGAAAAACTGGTAGTCAAGTATTACTGTTTTTAGGATTTTTATATGATCTATGAAGGCTATTGAAATCTGATAAGTGAGGCTTCTGATAGCACATTACACAGAACTTCTGCATAATCTTTGTCTAACTTCGACGCCACTTAATTGTATTTAATTTGATGTAGTTGTTTCATATTGTTGCTTCTTAAGTAAAAAACGTTTCATCAAGCTCATTTGTACATATTGAGATTAAAAATTATAATTAAGGATGGTATCTAGTTGAGTCAGTAAGGTATCTAGTTAAGCCTTTAATTCCTTAGAGTAACTAGGATCCTATTTCTCCTTACAATGTCACCCCTGAAACAAGCAATAGGGTCAGGAGAATAAAGGAATTGATCACCAACCAAAGATACTCATGACAGCTAAACAAATTCTCCTTTTCAGCACCTTAGGGAATGTATAGAGAACAGTAGGGAGAATATACATACTGATGTTAGGGTGTAAAGGATTAATACACTTTACTTTATGAAATTAACCCTTTAACTCCCAGATGTGATTGACGTGCAACTTCTCTCTATAATATTCATACATCGTCCAGCAAAAAGGTAATTAGAATACTCAAACTTATCATGAAGAAGTTTTTACTCTGATCTAACACCAAATTCTTGTAACTAATTTGCAACAAAGTGTGTAGCAGCTAGAGAGGAGAGTTAACAATCAGATCTTGGGAGTTAAAGGGTTAACTTTAGATTGATGTATTTTCTAGGATATCATGCAACAATGATGTAATTTATGGCTTAAAAGTAAATTTTAACCTTGCTTTTAGAGCAGCACTTTTTTATGTTTGGTTATTCAAGGTAGCAAATTGTAGTTTTTTTGAATGGATGGGCGAGCAGCTGAGTAAGGAGGACTCACTTCTGAAAATGACAGTGCTCTTTCAAAGGATAAGAATTACCAATTTGATGAAAACATGCAGGTTTTCAAATCTTAAATGATCACTGTTGAGACTTTCCTCAGGCTATTGAAGCTTTCTTAGAATTAAGGCTCCCCACCCCACCCTCACTGCACAATGAGGTCAATGAGTGAAATAAATTACTTTACATAAAAGAATTGATTGTTCTTAAATAAAAAGGAAAAGACTTGTGCAAAAGATTATGGTTGCAATGGATAACAGCAATGGTGAAGAGGGCAGCTTTTTACTCCTTACTAGTTTCGGTCATGGCCTGCATGACCTTCTTGTGCGGAGGGGGGAGGGGTGAGGACCAGTTTTTAGGTTTGTAGACCAACCGTGCTCTTGGAAGGATCTCTTATTGCCTGAATGGTTTGATCTCAAAAATTGGTGGTAGCCTGCCCCATAAAAAGTTAGTTGCCTGTGGCACCTAGACTTTTCCAGAGCACAGCCTTGATTGTACAGCCCTACAATGGAGTGTCTTTGCATAATTCTTGTTTAATCTAAGTATCTTTTAAATGGAGTGTCTTTGCATAATTCTTGTTTAATCTAAGTATCTTTTAGCTTTTGAATAAAGTAGTTAAAATGATCAAATGTTGTTCATTCAGTGTCTAACAGTATTGCTTGATGATTAGTTTTGATTTATCAATGCAAAAAAGTCCTATCATTTCTTTCTCTCCCAATTTTAATTTCTTGTCTTCTCATTGTAACCTAAATAGAGTGCAGATTTTGCTTAAAGGATATGTGTGAGGAATGGGGAGGACTTGCCTTTGAAAGTGACAGCCGTCGTATTGAAATTTATCCAATCCCCCACCCCTCCCCCCTGCTCACACCCTAACATCACTATGGAAGTTCTCCGTACCCTTTTTAACACATTTCCTATCGGGGGTAGAGACAAGAAGAATTCTTTTAACAATCAAAGCGTTGTAGGTTGAATATCATTTCCTTTCTTCTCATAATCTCAATAAATGATTCAACAGTATCATCGTAAGGAGAAATTAGATGCTGGTCACTCTTTAGAATTACTCTGGGTACAATGGAAAGTTAGAAGTGGGTTTTACGTGTAACTAAACAAACATTTTAAAATGTCAATCTATCATCTTGACAGTTTGTACTGTTGTATAATAACAATCAAAGGCAGAGAATTCTTTACTTTACTTTCCAAGAGAGTCTTGTTTCTTGTTTGAGACTATCAAAACCCTAACGTGACAAATCAGGATGTTGGAAAAACACACATTGACTGCGAAATGATGATTGAAATGCTACGATAGGGGTGGCAAATATTTTCTTGAATGAACAGTTTACGAGCTAGTAGCATTAGTGCGATGACCATGGTGTGTTGAGGATCCGTCACCTAGCAAACTCTTTGATAAACATCGTGAGCTTAGGTTTAGCCTGTGGCAATAATCTTATCACCTGGAAGTTCATCCTGCTGATGTAGAGTGGTTGTCCTGTGCCACTGTGCCTGATTAAGGGTGTATCTTTTGATGTAATTCCCTACAGTGTCACAAGCGTCATCTTAAGTCTGGTATCTGATGAAAAAAACAAATGATGCACACATTAAGTAAGTTTACTCACAAAACTAATAAAAGGCTACACAAATAAAACTAGTGATTTAAACAATATCTGACTTGAAGGTTTGAAACATTGGATGAGTCTTGAGGTTTCTTCACGCAAGGGTTGTATGAAAAAAGTAATCTTTTTCATAGTGTTAGCTTAGCCATCTATAAAGCAGAGATGTTTTCTGTCTCTTCACAAGCATGGAACATAGAATAATGTCTCATTCCAATGACTTGACTTTTTAGAGTGCTTTTCAACTGAATGCTGAAAAACCAAGACCAAAGTATTCACAGCAACCAATCAGAAGAAAGAAAAAATACCCTGAACAGCCAATGAGAAATCAAAGTGAAAAGAAGCAAACCAACTAAGGCACAGGAAAACACAGGGGACCAAGTCATGATTGGTATGAGTTTTGCATCATCTTGCTTGAGAGGATGGTGTGAGTTTTCTGGACCAACCACAGAGCAAAGTTAAGTAAAATCAAAGAAATCCTGGATTTTTTGCGATTGATGGATATGCTTTAAAACTGGTCAAACCTGTTCAAGCAGGATTTCTGCTGCGCTTACAATGAATTCGTCAGCGCCCATTAACTGACTGGTTGCTCCACTCTTCAGTAATGCCTGATAAAATGCAAAAAGTGATACTGGTCAAACATTGGCTTTAACTCCCAAGATCTGATTGTTAATTCTCCCCTCTAGCTGCTACACATTTCCATATAAATTAGTTAAGAACTTGATGCTAGATCAAGATAGCAGCCCCTACCTGATAAGTTTAAATATTCTCATTACCTGTTTGCTGAATAATGTATGGATAATATAGGGAGAAGTTTGATGTTATTCACTTCTGGAAGTTAAAGGATTAAGAATTTTCAAGTGTCCATTTTCATCTCAAACAAAAAAAACCATCTTTTTTTTTTTAAAAATTAGTGTTATGTGATTATTCATTATGCTCAAACAAAACTAACCAAAATGGCCAAATTAAAAAAAAAACAAAGTTGAATGACAGCATTATAAACTAATGGGAGTTCAAAAGAAAAATAACCAAACTGCTCAAATGCAGGAAAAGCAATTGACTAAGTTTGGTTTTACTTTTGCATCTGATTGGCTGAAAGGATGGAACAAATTTTCTAGACCAATCACAGGGCAAAATGCAACTTGGATTACTTTAACAATACTCAAATGAAAATTTGCCAACTAACCTCAGCCATTACTTTATTGAGTCGTTGAGAACTCAACATGGAGCCAGTGTGAATGATACTGCAAGTTAAGATGAACTCATTAACATGTATCAAGCTTGATATATGAAAGAAAAACCCTCTTGATAAAAAAAATGATACATGAAAGGGTACAGCTTGTAGCATCCATGCACACATCTTTATGATAACACATCCCACCTCCCACTTCCCCCACCCTCTGGTGGGTGGGTGGGGAATTGTTTAACCACAAAGTGGTCACACAAGGTAAGTGTGGTGCATGCATAGTCTAGGGTTTGATATGAAAATACATCAGAGCTGATCACAGTGTTCTAGAATGCTCCAAATCTAGAATGAGCAGCACCTGGGCTATCCTCCTGTCACCCTCTTTCAATCAAAGAAGACTAATATTGGAAATTTTTAATGATCATCCATGCCACTTTTATGTAGAAGTTTTCTTGGTATCCACCATCGTGCATTTTATTTGTAAAAAAAGGTTTTGTCTTACTGACCTGATGGGATCAGCTGTTGTCTTGACAACTGCCTGTTGTAGTTCATTTAAAATTGCTTCACAGAGATTTTTATCAGCTTTGCCTACAAAACAATTATAAAAATTTTCAGCTCTACAGTTCACCTGCCTGTGTGACAAGGTTCTGATGATGGTTCTGATGATGTAAAAAGAAATTTGTTAGTCACTCTTGATCCTTTAACACCTATGATTTGATTGTCAATTCTCCCCTCCAGCTGCTACATATTTCCCTTTAAATCATTTACAAGAATTTGGTGTTAGATCAAGATGACAACTTCTATTGGATAAGTTTGGGTATTCTCATTATCTTTTTGCTGGATAATGATGGATATTATAGGGAGAGGTTAGTTGTTAATTATTTCTGGGAGGTAAAGGGTTAAGAGAAAAAAGTAACCAGAAGTGAATCATGTGCACCTCTTCCTGTTAAGTCCAACTCACTGTACAGTGATTCCGCTTGTTTCAAAAAGTCTACAGAGAAATCAATTGTGAGCAAAACATTATTAGAACTGGACATCTACTCAGAACAAAAGACGTACAGTATGGAAGTAGCATTCAGTCAATTTGAGAAGAAAGAAATCCTAGAGACATGATTAACTTGCACAGAAACTAGTTCAGATCTAGGAACTGTAGCACAAAGCTTTCAAGATAAAAGTGCCCAAAACAAAAGACATCTTTCATTACAGTTTGTCATTGATAGTAATCAAGCATCCACAGGTGAATTACTGCTCTTACCTTGATATATAAATGTGGATAAAACTCCAAGTTTAAAAACTGGAAAGCGAATCACCTCATGGCTAAAGCACATGATTCGCTTTTGGAGAGGTTCAGATTCTGCCCCAGTCAAGTCTCTGAAACAGAACACTGACTCAGTATAAAGTAATTTCCAAGTTACTCCTAAAATATTTTCTGCCAGTCAAGTTAGTTGATATAATTTTGTTTGCTGTTTAAGAGTAAAAGGATGTTCTAGGAATTCTGTCATCCTCTGGCCATCAGTGTGTTTTCTTTTGAGATTTAGTGTTCTCTTCTCACAATACTCAAAGGTTATTTTTAAAATTTTCTTATTTTCCCTGAGACTAATATCATAGGTTGACAAGCCTGAGCCTGCATGAAATGAAAGTTTTTACTAAAGCAGATGTGAGACTGAGTATGCTCTTTTTGAATGTGGTGTTCTTTTTACAAACAATAGAAAACTAAAGTAGAGACATTTTTTTAGATGTGGACAGCAACTGAAAGAAGAATAAAACTCCTGGAGCCCTTAGACACCAATGTGTCAGCTGCAAGGTTGTTATTGAACATTTTAAACCAAACTGTGCTGCCCAGAAAGGTGTAATGAGCAGCAAGAATTAGAACTTTTAACTTCTGGCTGCCATCTCAAAAATCTTTGTACTTAAGCTCCCTTTAGCTAATTAAAGAGCCTATGAGACCCCTATGTAATGGCTGAAACTTACCAGTTCTACAAAAATAAGAAATTTTAAATATCAATGATAGTGAACTAATAGTTAGGATGATGGACAACTGGCACTCTGATAAATATTTAAAACCAGTTAACACTGATTTAAGTAATAACTTGATCTCCTTACTTGCATAACAGAGTCAATAAATCATTGTATGTTTTTCCAGTAAGTCCTCGTAGACCATTACTATCTAACAGAAACAAGAAACGATTTTTTAATTAGTCTATTTTAACTTAAAATCTGACTAAGTCTGTCCCATGATGCACAGGTTAACACTTTACACCCTGACATCAGTATCTATATTCTCCAAACTCTTCTCTATACATTTCCCATGGTACTTGGAAGGAGAATTTGTTTAACAATTGAAGTTTATTAGGTTGGCAATCATTCCCTATATTCCCATGATCTTGACCCTCTAAGACCCACTAGTGACCAAGACAGAATTTCTCCTTACACTATAAGTACAATATCAAGCAGACAAGTAATGAGAAATGAGAAAAATATTCAATTCACATTTAATTCCAAATTCTCCAAACTAAGTAAGAAGAATTACTAATGAGATCTTGGGAGTTAAAGGGTTAATGAATGATTCAGCAGTATTATTGTAAGGTGAAATTAGATGTTTGTCAGTCTCTCAGGGTTTAACCCTTCAACTCCTAAGATCTGATTGTTAATTCTCCCATCCAGCTGTTACACATTTCCATGTAACTTAGTTACAAGAATTTTGTGTTATATCAAGATAACAACCTCTTCCTGATTAGTTTGAGTATTCTCATAACCTGTTTGTTGGATAGTGTATGGATATTGTATGGAGAAGTTACATGTAAATCACTTCTGGGGGTTTAAGGGTTTAGAGCTTTTACAACTGTTCAAGTCATGTACTTGTAAAACATATAAATAAAGGGGATAAGTTTCAAAAGAAATTGTGGTGCTACGTTGGTGGGAAAGTATAACAGGGTAATTAAGTATCATCAACTGCCTTGATAATTGGCCACTGTAAAGAGTTTAAAAGCTGACATTTTGAGCGTTAGTCCTTCATCAGAGTGGTTAGAGGAACTGTGGATTGTGTTTGTGTTTATATGCGGAAAATGGGGCTTCACTGTTGGTGAGAATATGGTGATGACCAATAGTGTAGCTTCATTTTCTGCATATCAACACACACACAACCCAACGTCTGCTTTTAAACTCTTTACGGTGGCCAATTTACACTATCAACTCACTTTTCTGTTGTTTCAAGATGTTATAGGCTGCTGCCAGGTTGATTTGGAAAGATGGTCTTGAATGATGTGCTAGCAGCAGTTTTTGATGGGCCTTCACAAGTGCCGTGGTTGTGATCGCGCGGCTGTCAAAACTTAAGTCAACCATTCAAAAAAATGTTGTTAATGGACACATGAAATTTTCAATTTTTGTAGACTCGTAAATCACTGCTGGCGGATCGAGATACTCACAACTCAGCCATAAAAGCGATTGGATCCTCAGGCCTGTTTTCAATGATAAGAGTTATTGCATCTTTGATGTCACTTGTAATACCAGTGCGCGCTGCAAAATAATTTGTTGATAAATTTTGATTAAAATCATTGTTTCTAAGGTTAGCTTAAAATTCTTTTAATCTTGCTTCAGCTTCGAAAAAAAAAATGACCCTACTTTCATCACTTGAAATTACTTACAGAGAAAGTCAAGAGGACTCTCCGTTTTCTCTGGTTTAGAATCTCGATCATCAAACAAATTTGTTTTGGAAGGCTTTTTATCCGCCATTTTAGTTTTTCTGTAAAGTCGAGAAAGACTGGAATTGAAGTTACGCCTCAGTTCAGTGTACATGAATAGAAAAATAAGTGTTCTCTTTGGGGGAAAAAACAGAGTAGCACACGAGTATTTGTGGCGAAGTAAGAATATTTCAGAGATGGACGCAGAAAATAATCTAGAGAGTCCAGAGCAAGAGATCGAGCTCTTGGAAGATGATTTTGTAGAAGTGGTAGATTTAGATGGTGACGATGAAGCAGAGGAAGGTACGACTGTTATATCGACGAAGACTTTGCAGTCTCTTGAATCTCTGCCACACGTGTTTTGCTAGCATGTCAGTATAAATTCCCGATTTGTAGTAACTAAGTCTAGCATCATAAATAGAAAGTTGTGAACTCAAACGGCAACCTTATATATTACAAGCGAAAGGTAAAAACTCTCAAGACCCCTGCTCATTTGCTCGTAAGTGCCAAGATAAGAACGTCTGGTATTGCATTTAAGTGGAGTTCGTAAGCTGATAAGTTTGTATTTTCTCCTTACCTTGTTTCTCTACTGGACAATTTCTTTGATTTTTTGGGAGAAATCATTTGTTAATCACTTCTGGCTCTGGCACTGGAAGGGTTTAAGTTCCTTAAGGTGACTTTCTTGTTCAATTAAATACCCCTCCTGTTTTTCCATCCCCCCCGCCCCCTCCCTCCCTCAGCTGGGGTTTATGCAGATTATGTTAACTGCCTTGTCGTTTAGTATAGAAATTTCAATTGAGTGTTGTAGATAATCTTGAATCTCCAATCATTTTTGTTGTTGTTTCCTGGACTCCCTGATCACACAAGAAAACTTGCACCAGCTTCTTAACCCTTTAACTCCCAGAAGTGATTAACAAGTAACTTCTCCCTTCAATATCCATGCACTATCCAACAAACAGGTAATGAGAATACTTAAATGGATTAGGTAGAAGTTGTTATCTTGATCTAACACTAAATTCTTGTAACTAATTTTCAAAGAAATGTGTAGCAGCTAGAGGGGAGAATTCACACAAATGGTTAACCAACCACATGTAAAACTAAAACCAACTGTGATGTGATCAAGTACTTTTTCCACTCCTCAGGTGATTCACCTATGTTTACACTTACTCCTGGTTAGTTCCTTGTGATATTTTTCTTCATTCTGGTGGGCTGTTGTGATTAGTTTGACATTTGGCCTTATTCAGCCAAAATGTGGGCTGATCAATTCCCTGCCCACAGTAACTCAGAGTATAACGTCTCAAAACAACCGATGTTTTAGTCAACTGGCTTCAAATCCCTCTCTAATCCTTTACACCCTAACATCAGTATGCAAACTTTCTATACTATGCTCGATAAATTTCCTGAGGTGCTGTCACATGAAGAATTTGTTTAACAATCAAGAGCTTCCTTAGCTGGTGATCATTTCCTTTATTCTCATAACCTAAATGTGTGATTCGGGGATGATATTGTAAGGAGAAACTAGGTGTTAATCAATCTCAGGGGTTAAAGGGTTAACAAATTATACTTCCAGATGGACTTGCAGTTGGAATGGAGGATGTTGGTTTCACAGATGACATGAATGATCAAGATGGTGAAAGTGTTGGCATGGCTGAAAAAGATGATGCAGACTTGAGCTTCCAAAAGCATACTGGTGATTATTACAGTTATGATGTTAAGCAAATTTTATCAGCCACTATATCTTGCCATCAGGAAAACATAAGGGCTGCAATCATGTCTTTACATCACCAAAAGTTGCTTTAATTGTTGTTGTTTTTTTCGCCAAAGGAGTTTTGAACTGATTTTTACAAATGCCTTGGGATGAACTAGCATTCCATCCAAGGGGGAGTAGTGATACTCCTGGTCGCTTATTTATGTTAAGGAAACTGGGATAAAATCCAGCAGGGTGGGCCAATCGACTCCAGTACAGACTTAAGTTTACTTTTTCTTCATCAGCTTCTGTCTTCTCTGTGGCAATTGAACCAGTGAATAGTTCAGTGGCAGTTTCTGGTGGAGAAGATGACAAGGCTTACATTTGGCAAATAAAAGATGGACAGACACTTTTGGAGTGCCATGGTAAATAGAAACTTGTGATTCAGTGGAACTGAACATAATGGATTAATTGTTAATTTTTTCATTAAATGTAATTATGATGTTATTAGGCACCTTCAGACTTTCTTTCACAAAGTTACAACATTTTCATAGTTCCAAACTAAGGTAAATCTCAATTTGTAATTTAATGATACACTAGCTAACCCTTATGCATTTGTTATAAATTTTTTGCCTTACTTTTAACTATAATTATGAATCTAACACCATATTTTTTGTCATAAAGCTATTCTTAGACTATAATTTTAAACTTAGTCTCATTACTTTATCTGTCTTTTTTTGGGAAAGGTTTTGGCATGCTCCTCTATAAATTACTAACTCAGTATGTACCTCTAACACTTGTCTAAAGTTAAGTTTACCCACAGCAACCTTTAGAAATGAAGTTAGTTTTGTATCCTATATTCTGGACTAGACCTTAAAAAGACCAAACATACCTGTGGCTTCATTCACATTGCTTGGTTGAGCAAAGACATAATTTCTTGTTAACGATTTCATGTTGTTAGAGTGCTTAACAGTGATTTAAAGACAGTTTTATTGCCCTAATTAATTGGATTTTTAAATTTACTTAGTGTATAGCATTATGATATCTTTTTTCTTAATTTTATTTTTATTCACAAGGTCATAAAGATTCTGTGACATGCACAGCTTTCAGTCACGATGGGAAATTTGTTGCCACTGGTGATATGAGTGGCTTCATTATTGTCTGGGATGTTGCTACAAAAAAGGAAGTTTGGAGCTTTGAGGCAACAGACCTAGAGGTGAGAGATATACGATGTTATAATTGACTAAACTTTTTAGAACAAGCTACCATTAAGGCTACTTATTTTTTTAAATAAAAAAAAGTGATTGGAAAAATTGCTTTTAATAGTAACTAAATTAAAATGTTGAAGTGTCGATGTCAGGTTGTCAAAAATTTGTTTGTTGTTGAAGTTCATTTTTACCTATGGCCACCTTGTGAAAAACTGTCCAAACTTTTCTAAACAGTGCAAACTCCCAATAACTTATGAATCAGGGCAAGCTGGCATTTTTGTAAACATCCAGTCAGTCAGTCTGTCTGTCTGTCTTTTTGTTTGTTTATCTGTCTGTCTGTCCCCTGTCCATCTGTCTGTTAGCCAGTCAGTCAGTCAGCCAGGCTGTCTGTCTCTGTCTGTTCATCTGTCTGTTCATCTGTCCATCCTTCTATATATCCACTCACCTACCCATCTGCCCATCCTTCCTTGCATTGATCAACTGATTCATCCACATTTTTTGTGTCATTTCAACCACTGTGAGAATTCCTTTGAAGTTGTTTTTCCAATAATTGTCTTGATGTAAATTTTCAGTGGCTAGAATGGCACAATGAGGCAAATGTGCTCCTAGCTGGGACAGCAGATGGTAATGTGTGGATGTGGAAAATTCCAAGCTCAGATTGCAAGACATTCCAAGGTCATGGATGCCGATCAACATGTGGGATGTTCATGAAAGATGGTAAAGAAAATTAACCAGAGCAATTCCAGTTTAGCATTGGTCAGCAGTAATCTGGGATTGCTTTGATTTTCCTTTGAATTGCCTTTTTGTTTACCGATTAGATTCAGAACTTAAAACAAGATTTACTTTTTCACTCATCTCTCCACACCTTGAGCAGTTTGTTCTTTTAATTAGCTCTTTTTCTGTTGAAATGTGCTGTGTTTGACATGTCTGGTGGCCAATAACTAAGCTCTTTTTTTGTCAACCTTTGGACCTCAAGAACAATTTTACTTTCTCCTGATGAAACACTATAGATTAAACCATTCACAAGGTATTTCAAAAGAACAGAATTGTGATTTCCAAGAATCAAAAATTCTGCTCTAGTGTTCAAACTTTTTGAGATAATCATCATTTGGCTTTTTCAACAATGAAATAATTGTAATGCTTCAAGTTTTGTTGGAAATTTGTAATAGGTAAGAGAGCAAGTGTTGGATATGAGGATGGAACTTTGAAACTCTGGGACTTACGACAAGGAATGCATACTTTTCATTTATCAGGTAAAAATCCGAGGTACTTGTTTCAGGGACATTTTTCATTGATGCACAGGTTGATCGAGAAGGTCCTAGCTTAGAGAGACACAGATAACAACTGCTATGTGCTTATTGCTGTCTACTTTACCCTTAATACCCTAACTTCAGGACGCATATTTTCCACACATATATTCTCTACATTTCCTATGGAACTAACAAGTTTAATTCAGGGGTGAGAGGGTGAGGAGAAACTAGTTTTTAGTCACTCTTAAGGGGCAATTGGCCAAACCCTGTCACTGTATGGAATGACCAAGAAGGAATTTTTCCACACAATGTTATTATATTTTCAAGCACAAAGGTGATGAGGAGAAAGAAAAGTATCGATTATAGGGGATAGCGTTTGATCCAAAACCAAATTCTCAGACCTAAAATTATCATAAATGTATGGCAGAAAGTGAGGAGAATTGATATTTAGATCTCAGGAGTGAAATGTTTATAATAGAGATTGGTGGCCTGGATCATATATTGGAAAAGGCTTTACTTGTGGACACAAGAGTTATTTTTATGGAATTTAAGACTTATCAACTATTGTGATATGAAACATTGATTGGCAATATTTTGCTTCAGATCTATTGTGAGTTTTAGATTGTAAATTTGGTGCAATTGATGTATAGTATGTTTATTGTAATTCATTTAACCATTTGAAATTGTAGATTTATTAAAAGTAAGGTCAATATGGATGGGATAAATATAAATATTTTGCAGTCATACAGAAAAGTATAGATTGTGATTTGCAATAGTCTAAGTTAAATGTTTCACTCTGACAAAGGGCTAACACTCAAAATGTCAGATTTTAAACTCTTTGCAGTGGCCAATTAACTTATTAACTCAGTTGATAATACTAAATTACTCTGTTATACTCTCTCACTGATGCAGCACCACAGTTACTTACCCCCTTTATTCTTAAGTTAAAGCCTTTTTAATTTGAATAATAAGTTTAGCAGGCAAACAACTTGTTCAGTTTCTTGTTATAGATGGCACAGCTCACCAGGGCTCTGTAACATGTATAGATGGACATAGAGATAATGTTCTTGTGGCAACAGGATCAGAAGACTCCACTGTCAAAATAGTCAACACAAACAGTGGGAAGGTAAAAAAGTCTTGAGTGTTTTTTCTTTTTCTGTATATTACATAAGACATAGTTAAAAGGCTCAAGGGTTTAACACAGTTTCTTGCTCCTTGTTTTAACCCTTTACCTCCCATAAGTGACTAAAAGAGAAGTTCTCCTTACAATATCAATATGATATCAAGCATAGGAGTGATGAGAATAAAGTAAAATGTAAATTAAGGGATTATTAGTAGATCCAATACCAAATTCTCCAAATGGACATCATAAGAATTGTTTGGCAGACAGTAAGGAGAATTACTAATGAGATCTTGGGAGTTATAGGGTTTACATAGCTGTTGATGAGTAATCCTTCAAATGGTTTAAATATTTGGTAATTGTGAAGAAGAGCTCCCCAAAAAACCTGTCGGCCGACTGTCGGTCAACTGTCGGCCGACAGGTTACCGACAGTCTACCGACAGCTAACCAACAGGTTACCGACAGGTTAAGAAAAAAGAAAAATTGTGTTAAAAATGAACAGTTAACGTGACATAACAATCCGTAATGGTGATGTATGATTCGACAGACTTCACCTACTTACCGATCGACGGCAAAGTTGAAAGTATGTAATGAAACGTTTCTTCCAAAATGTTGTTATCAGATGCGTATAGGATATATCACTTGCGTAATTTACAACACACCAGACAATCTAAGAATCGCATTGGAAGATAATTTAATCGAAAACTCGGCCAAAAACTCTGATAACCATAAGCTACCTATCAATACAAACACTTTCGTTCAAATCGCCCAACAATGCAACGCTGCCTCTTATGGTATGTTATGTATGTATCATTGATGTTTACCTTGTGCATTTGTGTTGCTAACATCGTCCTCTATCTTGCAGGTTTGGAATGAATTGCTATTTCCAATTTCAAGTTTAATAAATGATACAACTGTGAATCTTTTTACTCGTTATGTTAAGTAATAAATTACTATACGCAACAATTCGATAATTAGACTTGGATGCGTGATGCGATAATTGATTTAGGCGCGCGTCGCTAAAAACACGATTCTACGAGTGAAGTATCTTGTATATAGTTAACGTTTCACGGACAAGCTACCGACAAGCTACCGACAAGCTACCGACAAGCTACCGACAGGTTACTGACACATTACCAACAGTCGGCCGACTGTCGGCCGACTGTCGGTCCACTGTCGGCCGACTGTCGGTCCACTGTCGGCCGACAGGTAGCCTATATTTCGGGCAAAACCTGTCGGCCGTCTGTCAGCCAACTGTCGGCCGACAAACGGCAGACAACCAACTGTCGGCCGACAGTCGGCCGACAGTTGACCGACAGTCGGCCGACAGGTTTTTTGGGGAGCTCTTCTTCACAATTACCAAATATTTTTAGGATTGCTTAAAAATACCCTGGAAGAAATTTTGTACAATGGCCATTTCCTAGTTATGAATGGAATTGAATGCATAAATTACAAGTAATTGGTAAAGATATGTGGGTAATTGTGAAGAAGAGCTCCCCAAAAAACCTGTCGGCCGACTGTCGGTCAACTGTCGGCCGACAGACGGCCGACAGGTTTTGCCCGAAATATAGGCTACCTGTCGGCCGACAGTGGACCAACAGTCGGCCGACAGGTTTTTTGGGGAGCTCTTCTTCACAATTACCGATATGTGGATTGATTCCATTCAACATTTTCTTGAAGGTTTATGCAAGGTTTGTATAATACCTGTGGTATTTGAACTGAATAGTGTCCAGTTTTGCATGTAATCTAGTGAAACAACATGGTATCTATACTAACCTGGCTCTCTTAAAATTGTAATTTGCCTTCCTCTTTTATATTCATTACATACATACTGCATGTCATGCATACTCATTGACAGCCCTGGAGGCACCATGAGAGGTTAAGATCTTGTTAAGAACACAGCTTTTCGACTTTGGCTACAGACTTTTCAGTAAGATACCAGTAAGCCAGCCTTTAATTGCTTATAGGTGACTGTATGCCTTGCTGCTAAGAGTAGCCTGCAAAATGGGGCTGTTTTTGTTTGCCTTGTTGTTTTCTTTGATCTAATTATTTTGTCAATCTGCTTTTTTTTCCTAAGGTACTGAGTACTTTGGCTGCAGGTTTTCAATCCGAGAATGACAGTGACCCACCTCCATCTATTGAAGCTGTTGGATTCTCTCCTCAGTAAGAATTTGAATTATCAAAAGTATGAATTCATTTCTTGGAAGTACTGATTCGAGATTTGACAGAAGCAACCACTTGAACCTCAAAATATGTTATTGAGGGATTGGATTGACTGTTGCTGTCACTGTGGTGATTGAGGTGGTCTTTGTCAAAGTTGTCATCATCATTTCTATTATTACCTTTTTTAAGGCAATTCAAAATTTATTCATAACTTTATAGAGAGTAGCTGAGTAGAGTGGGGGGGGGGGAGTCTTAATCCCATTTCTCACACAAATTTACAAAAACCAATGCATCACATTATACTTCGACTCACAGTATTTCATGTTACGAATTTAAAAGGGACAGTTTCTTTAAAATTCACTTGACATTAATTTTGGTCTTAATCATGTGCATATATAACTCTTTGCCACCTCCATGCCAGAGAAGGCATTGATTACTGCAAGTTGTTTTTCAGTGCTTTATTTTGTGTTTATCATGACTTGTCCACAGGCAACCCATGCTAGCAACAGCATCATTAAGTGGGGTCCTTGGGGTGTGGGATCTGTCATCATACAGGCTTCGTCAGGAGTGTAAACATCCGGTGAGTTAAAAGAATTTTTATCCTTTTACTCCAAAACTCCAATCAGTAATTCTCCCTACTGACAGCCATACATTTCATTGTAATTGAGACAGGAGAATTTGGTATTTTCTCGAGATAAAACCCTAAAGTGGGTGAGCTTGTCTTGATTTTTAAAACATATTAAGCTTTATTTGCACCTTTAGGGAGGGATAGTGCGATTGAAGTGGGATGCTGCAACACCTCTAATATATACTGGATGTCTGGATGGTGTGGTGCGTCTATGGGACAGTCGATCAGGAAATTGTGAACGAGAGTGGTATGGTCACAATGGGGAAATACTGGATCTCGCTGTGGCCAGGTAATACAATCTCTTTGTTTTACACATCATGTTTCTGTAGACCCTTCCTTAACATCTATGTCTCATAGTCAATAATGTAAGATTATTTTGACAGATTTGCAAACTTTGCTCTTGGGTTATAACTTATATGGACGTAGTTGAAATCAGTTCACCCCAAAAAGTTACATCTTTATACCCTAACAACAGTGTGCATTTTCGCCATACTGTTTTCTGTACACTTCCCAAGGTGCTGACATGGAGAATTTGTTTAACAATCAAATCAGAGCATCTTTAATTGGTGATCATTTCCTTTATTCTTGGTTAGAACGTCTGACTGCTATAGAACAGAAAATTGACTTTTCGCTGAAATCCAAAGTTTTTTTCCTTTTTCCTGGACAATTAATACTGCAGCTCTTTAGAATAGAAAATTTCTTAACTCTTTAACTCCCAGAATTTTAGATATATGAAAATTCACATATTTTTAATTCATATTTTAAATTATTAAATTATTTAAATTATTTTAATTCATATTTTAAATTCACATATATTTAATTCACTGAATTTTCATATATCTAAATCTTCATTCACTCGGATGTTTATTTGTACCCAATTCATTGACCAGCTCCCAGTTGGCTTGTTAGCTCAATTGGTAGAGCGCTGCACTGGTATCGCAGAGGTCATGGGTTCAAATCCCATACGGGCCTGAAATTTTTTTCAGGTCCTACTTACAACTACTAGTTTCAGTAGTGTTCTTAGCTGCGAGGATCTTCTAATTTCATCCCAGAATTTTATTAGTAATTCTCCTCATTTTCTGCCATTATTTTCTTGTAATGCTAGTGTGGAGAATTTGGTATTTGACCAACTAATGATACCCTAATTCATGTTTTTCTCTATTTGCATCACTTGTCTGCTTGGTATTGAATTGATACTCTTTGGATAAATACCATTTTGGTACTCTTAACCCTTTAACTCCCATGAGTGATCAAGACAGAATTTCTCCTTACAATATCAATACAATATCAACCAGATAACTGATGAGAATAAAGAATATCAATTTAGGGATAATTGGTTGATCCAATACTAAATTCTCTGAACTAACATTATAAGAATTCTATCGTTGACAGTGAGGAGAATTAGAAATTTGATCTGGGAGTTAAAGGGTTAAGAGTTAAAGAGATAAGTGGTAAAAAACGCTCACTAACCCCTAACACTTTTCATGTTGAAAAATTATGAATGAAGTGCTTGATTGAGTTCATAAGGATTGAAATGTTGGACGTGTAAGTCTGTGATGCTTTCAAAAATTGATGACATGTAATTTAACTCTCTATTTTGCAGAGATGGGAGCTTTTTATTAACAGGATCAGGGGATAGTACAGCAAGAGTGTTCACAGTACAAACACCTGGAAGATGACAAAAGTTAGCTTCATCCCAGAGGAGTTGTAAAATTAAATTGTCACCAATAAAAACATATTAATTATCACCTCTTTGTCCTAAGGTTTGTTACTGCAAGGTAAAAATCACAAACTAATACGAAAAAGACATCCTCAATTGGTTGGTAAAGACTAAAAACTACTGAAGAGATAGAAATTAAAGATTTTGACACAAGGATTTAGATATCAGGTAGAAGTTTTTAACTTGATCTAACACCAAATTCTCTTTACTAATTTACAAGAAAATGTGTAGCAGCTAAAGGGGAGAATTAACAATCTGATCTTGAGAGTTATAAGGTTAAGTCTCTTTATTCTGCTGTAATGGACAGAGTGAAGTGATGACTTTGACTTGGAAAGGCCCATGAAGAGGGCTTTTGCTGGTATCATTCCAATCTTTTTCCACTCTGTTTCTTTGGCATTGAACTGCTATCTCTTCCCACTTCTCACTCTCCTTTGGATTCCTTTGATGCTTCTAGCATTTTTTCCCTTTGTTTTGCTTTGATTAGTTCAAGTCTCTTTCTGTCTACATATCTCTTGAGGAAAATAAAGGACGAGATTCCACTCGTGACTATCACCACCCTTAAAAAAATTAACAATAGAAAAACGTCAAACATGTTGATCAACTAAAATTCTCCTTAATTTCTCTGAAAGTGCATCGTTTAGTTGACTCTGTATGTCCTAACTTCAAAATACATATTCTTCATAATATTCTTTATACATTTCCTATAGTATTGATAAGGAGAATTTGTTTCACGATCAAAAACTTCATTGGTTGGTAATTGTTTTCTTTATTCTCATTATGACCTTAATGCTTCATTCAGCGGTGATATTAGGAGGAAAAATTAAATGCTTGTCACTATTGGGGTGTAAATTCTATAGCAGGGTCCCCTAAGCTCCAAATGGGGTTGGGACGTGGACTACTTTACACCCTAGCACTAAATTTTGAGAAACTTTGTTTCCGAATGAAATTATCAGTAAAACCACACTGCGAATTTAAGATGTTCGATTCAAAAACAGACCCTAATGGAGTGAAGAGAAAATGGATCATACGATCGTTAGCTGAGATATACCGACACATTACAATTCCTTACCATCCAATAGCGACCATTCGCATTCCCGATTCATACATTGGAGCCATTTTTCAATCTGTGTTACTGCAACGCAGAATCACTTTCACTTGCTGCTCGGTATATCCGCCGCTCGCGTTACGTATCCGTCTCCTCCGCCATATTGAAAGATGAAAGAGCCTGGTAAGGAAAAAGTGAAGCTTCGCAATTACTCCTGGCCCCATCCTCCTGAGGAGTTTTGAGAAGGCTCACTTGCCAGCGATTATTGAAGTTTTGAACAGTACAAAACGCGTCTAACAAACGCTGAGGTATATGGAATGGATTTCATCTTCATTATATTGCTTCATCAACTTCTTGGTGAAGGATTTTGAGAGCTGGTGGGTCGTGAGCTAGCACGGCAGGGATGGCTAGGAGGCACTCCTCCATCATTATTCCCCCCCCCCCCTCCACTTCCCCCACCAAGAGATCCTTCTGTAGAAGCCAGGGAGAAGTAAACTGAAAATGTTAATGAGACAACAAGTGCATAATTTAACAAATTTCATTTAATAATTTAAACTAACCCTTTGGGATAACACTATCTAACAAATGTATATAGCTAATATGCTAAAAATAACTAACTGTGAGGAATCTCTGATATGCTTGTCAAAGGTGCCAGTGATAAGTTTGTGGCAAAATTGACTCATTCCTGCATCTCTGCACTTTTCTAAATAATGCGCAGTAGTATTTTTTGCTTCTTTTAAGTTTGAATGACTTCAAAATTTAAATCCCAAATATCAATTGAGATCAACAGCCATGTCTCATTGCCTGAGAATCAAGTTCACAACGGAAACCTCTACTCTTCCACCTCTTTGTTCACTCAAAAATAAATGACTAACATAAATATTTGCACTTCAGAATATAGTAAGTGGACTGAAAATCAGCCATAAAGAGAAAAATAATTGCAACTAAAAATAAATACAGTTTTTGCTAGATAAAGCCCCAAAAGGGAAATTGCAAACATCACAACAAAAAGCTTTTGAGCAGTTCTTCCACAGGGAAGTTTTCCACATAAGCATTCCAAAGAACAGTTTTTGATAAGTTTTGTATGTGTCTTCCCAATATAGAGGACAATGGTAAGTCCTGTAGCAGTCATCTCAATGTGAAACACCAAGGTTTTGAACTGCAAATTTTAAGTTACACCCACTGTTTACAACATATTCTACAATAGCACTTCTAGAAAGTACTGCTCAATAGCTAAATTGTCTGATTTTAGACTCAAAGTAATCATTTGGATTAAGGAGTGTAAATAAGGCAAATATGTAAAGCATGTAAAAAAAATCTAAGTGCTACATGACCAAAAACATTAACAAATTCTCTCAAAACATTTTAAAGTTCATAGTTTAACATACACTTTGCTATATTTTCAACTAAATTGTAAATTGTTTTGTAAATGTAATATTGGTGTCCAAATATTCATAGAAACAAAACAGGGATAATTAAGCTCTTGAATTTTACCAGAGCAATTTTTTTGTTTCAAATCATTCATGTCATAAACTGGGTTATAAGATTTATTTTTAACAATTATCTTTAAAATAGAGTATAAATTCATATGTACCTGACACTTATCATATAATTTTTTTTTTTGATTGATTCAATATTTAAACAAAAGATCTGAGAATCATTAACTCCCTCCAAGCAGCACTCAAAAGAACTCCTAGGAAATGATAGAACAGTAAAAACAAAAACTAGCTTTGCCAAAGAAAAAGTATCTCTGATCAAAGATAGTGTGTCATGCAAATATCATTAGTATTATTTCCTCAATGCCATGAAAAATTCATGATGGATATGATAAAATAAGAAAATATGATTTAAAAAATTTGAGCTCAGAGAATAATGTCCTCATGTTATTACCCCCAGAATTCCATTGATTCTACATTAAAATTCTAGAATTGACCGGTTTAACCAACAAAAGCATGTTAAAGAGTATGGTTAAATGAAAATTTCCTTACTGGCAGTCTTTGCTGCTAATTTATTCTGATTTTTTTTCAATCCAACAGAACCCTTTAACCTCAAAGAGTGATAGGCATCTATTTTCTCACAAGAACATCACTGCTGAATTGAATGCTAAAGTCATTAGGGAAAAGATCTTATGTGTTAAAAAAATTCTCCTGGTCAGTACCAAATGAAATGTGTAAAGAACAGTATGGAGAATATGCAAACTGATGTTAGGGACTTTAGGATTAAGTTAGAACCTAGTCTCTATGGAATGAGAAGCTAAATCTCTTTCTTGGTGCCAGTGTCTGGGTACTTTTCTCCTCAGTCCTCTTCACTGGAACTTTGTAATGAAACTCTCTCAAGAAAATCTGAAGGGTGTTTGGCAGAGGAAGATCACTGACTCCTTGAAATGTTGTGTGGCTGCTAATCACTGCACGGCACAGATCTTGCAGTGAAACTGGATTCCTCCTATGCAATGGCTTTAGCAAAAGAGGTTCATAGTACATGCACTGCTCAGCTCGAGAGTAATGCTGTAACAGCTGGCAAACACTTGTGGAGTGAAAGGAGTAATCACTAGGTTTATCAAAGCTGTAGCGATGTTTCCACTGTTCAATCCGTGCATGATAAGTACGAGAGTAGCGGCGGAAACTCACAGAGAACAGGTAGTGATATTGTGCACTATCACGCAGCAGAAAAGTTCCATCTGGAAGGCCTTCCAACACCTGAAGCAAAAATTTGAGAATCTGGATTAAACCCTTTTACCTCCATGGGCAACCTAGAGCTAGTTTCTCCTTCCTATGTCACAAAAATAACACATTGACAAGTGATGAGAATAAAGAAAAATATCAACTAAGGTATACAATTTGATTTGCCGGCAACACTAAATTCTCAGAACTACCATGGGAGGAAATGAAAGGCCGATAGTAAGGAGAATTTCTGTACTGAAGCCTATACCTCCACTTACTGCTGTCTGTTAGCTTGCAAACAGGCTCTCATGTTTAGGTGTTTTCACAAGCACAGCCACCTATTAAATCAGCAGCAACCCTCTATGGAAAAAGTTGTTGAAATCCTTGCATGATGAGATAAAGAGGCTCTTGTATCTTTCCAATAATCCCTTGTCTTCTTTGTTCATTGATAACTAAATATATTATACCTTGTGTAGTGTCCAAGGGAATAATTTTTAATTTTCCAGTTACTACTTCAATCTTGTCAGATTTCTGTGACAGTTTGCATGAAGTCATAAATGCAGACTGGTAACGAGAATTAACCCTTTAACTCCTAAGAGTGACTAGCATGTAAATTCTTATTACAGCATTCCTGTTGAATCAAGCATTAATGTCAGGAGAATAAAGGAGATGACAGAAAAGTAGAGATGGTAAGTTTTGAGCTCAGTGAAAAAACTAAGAAAGATGTTTTTTTGCCTTGTCATGAGCATGGGACAAAGAAAAATTCTGAGTCTCCATGAGGAATCAAACCTCAAACCTTCGGATTTGTGCTCCAATACTCTACCACTGAGCCACAAAGACTCTTCGGTGAGCGGGGTCTATTACGAAGTTCACATGACACACGTCCCGCATACTGCTAGGATCAACAATGTCGATAGTGTACTGTTTTTGACAAAACTACTTTTCTTGTCCCACACTTGTGACAAGATGAAAAAACATCTTTCTTAATAAAGGAGATGATTCCTAACAATAGAAGCCCAATTGAAATACAAGTTCTCCTTGTCATAACCACAGGAAATGTATAGAGAACACTTTGGAGAATACACAGCTTGAAACTCGATACGAATAATAAGGTATATTAATGGAGTGGCACAGAGCCAAACTTTACTGACAAAAATAATCTGATGACCAAAATCAACCCACACATGACATCTATGAGAAGTAGTTCCCAGTAACATCTATTGCAAGGCACCCACTCGAGTTGTTTTTTTGCAGTTTTCGTAGTTTTAATCAATGCGTATCAGCACTTTAATTACCATGAGGAACATTTTGAGGACATAGCTAATGCGATGATGAAAAAAATTATGTTTGCTCTCCTGTAAAACCCAATATATTAAAACATTTAGTTCCCATTAACAAATATCTGATATAAATAAAGTGCCTTAGGCTCTTTCTATCTACACCAGCCTCTGAATTCCTTTTTATGGCAGAATAACAGATGCATTCTTATGCAGAACAAAGGTATTTTACCATAAAAGGCTTAAATTTCAATATCCTTTGACACTCTCAAGAAACTATCTCATTTTTTTCCAGACTCAAGGATAAACCCTTTTAAAGTTCATGACATTATGAAATTTAAGAGGCACATTATGAACGCATCCTGTTTTTAAAATACTTTGTACAAATTTAGATTAGACTCTCAAGAATTGACAGGTGCCATATTCACATCTTTAATTGAGGCAAAAGGATAAATTGCAGCTAGATCAGAGACATCTTATCAATACGTTAATTAGGGAAACCTTTTCCGCACTTTGGGGTAAATATTTTATTCGAGTTTTTTTTTTCTAACACGTCGTAAAACTGTATCTTAATACGCTTTCATTGGCCGAGTCAAAACAGTGCTCTATTCCAAAAGATGAGAGTAAGTAACAAGATTAAGTAGCAAGAAAACGAAATCTACCTGAAAACCTTTTACTTTCTCATATCAAGCAATAATTTTACAAGCGTTTTCAAATGAAAGTCGCCCCTAACAAAATAACTATTTTCAAAAAATCCCCTATGTTGGATATTTCTCCGTCGACATTATTACTTGGCATAAGTCCTCATAACATCGTACCAATATACACCATTATCTAGCTAATTAAATTGAAGCTCACCTTTTCAGCCTCAAATCTATTAATTTTTCCCCAGTACCACGGGCAATTCGTGATAGATGCGATATCGTTTATAAGGAAATACTCCAATTTATGCTGGGCTGCTTTCATACGAGCCTTTTCCTTTCGCCTTCGTTCAAATTCTTCAAGGCTAATAGCATTGGATTGATTGCAGTCTTGATTTGCCTCACGAGGAAGTGAAGGGGATCGGAGGGTTTGAACTGCTGCATTATAGCCATCTCCCACAACTTCTGTATTTGAATCTTCCCTTCGAAACCCCCACGAAAGCGAGAATCTTCTTCTCCTTGCACCTTGAAACCCGCCATCGCCATCTTTCCCAGCTGATCGTGAACCCAGTAAACTAAGTGGTCTCCGGCGTCGCACTTGAGGATTTGTTCTCCGTTGCAAAGCTTCCAACTCAGCTTTCTCTCTCACCCGTTTCGCTTCTTGCAGACAACGAGCGTGATAGCTAAGACCATTTTCATCACGGTCACTTTTACGATTCTTATCAGCGGAAGTTTTTGCAGATTCTTTAGCACTTCTACGTCGAGAAACTTTTTTCGCTAACCATCGTAAGCTACGAGAATTCGAAGGCAGCTCTGGGTCAAGATCGATCAAATTTGGACAACTTTTCTCACTGGATGAATTGCAGCTGGAATGTTCCTCTTGAAAATCTGAAGCACAACTGCAAGCAACGGATGAAGTGCTTTTGACGTCCTCAGGGACAAAATCTTCTGAGTCGCTTAGAACAACTCTCAACAAGTCGCGATCCAAATCGTCGCTGTCTTTCGCTTCTCTATCGTTACGTTCTCGATGACTTCGACGGCGAGAGGACCACGGCCAACCTCCTCCTTCGGCCATAATTCGCTTCTAACCTAACAGTTCCTTGTCCATGAGCAGATGTTGCTATTTCCCGTTTTATTTTTAGCCAAGAAGGACAGCTTCAGGCGCTTACGTCCGTTCACGAACAACTCGATGGTTATTTGTTTGCTATCGGATTTTTAGTTCCCAGGCTTTCCGCTAGGACCTCAATCTGAAAAACCGAAAGATTCCGAGTCTCTGCGAGTATCTTCAATAATTTGCCGAACATTTGCGAAGAATGGAAGGGGCATCGCAGTGGAAATCTCTCTTTCTTTCAATTTCTTCTCTGACAAAAATAATTGTTCGAGAAGAAAATTATAGACACAAGTCTGCAACCTTGGAAACGAACCACCCACATGAGACAGCACCAGCAGTTATTCTTAATTTTAGAGGCGTTTAGGAAATGAGGCGTTTCTCATGTTTTTAACTTAGTTGAAAGACTAAAATACGAAGATTAGTCCTAAGCTTGTTAACAATTCATTTCATTCCTTAGGCGTTTAAACTGTGAATGAAATTAAATAAGATTAAAGTGACAAGATGTTCATTTTATATGTCATAACTTATGATTTGATCTCAGGTAATAATCAGCTTAGAACCTTTTCCACGTCAGTTTAACCATAAAAGGACTTTCAATTTCCCGTGTTTACGTAGCCTCATATTAACACTCAGGATGTTTGAAGAATCTAGGCGTAGTCAAGAGTCTGCATAACTTTGGATTATTTCTCTAATCATCAAATGTTAAATTGAGGCTAGGGAATCTCGGAAAAGTCATACTGTTTTCATGAAATATTTCTCAAATATATGCGCGAATGCAAACCTCCAGAGCCGCACATCTACTGAACCGTTTAACTCCCAAAGGTGACAAAAATGTAACTTCTCCCTAGGTTAAAATATCTTGATCTGATACCAGATTCTCGTCAGTAATTTATAATTACAAGGGAACAAGTGGTCCTGAAGGGAGAATCAACTATTAGATCTTGGAAGTTTAAGGGTTACCGAATAGATTCCACGTTGCCGTGTGTCTGTTCAATAATAGATCACAGATGACGTCAAAATGTGGTAAGAACAAAAGCGAAGCTCACGAGGCACACCCACATGTGTCATCGATGTTCTACCCACCTTTTGCCGTCTTCTGTGATCTCTCACTGAACAGAGCCACGGAAACATGGAATCTATTTGATTTAAATAATGAAGAAGAATAAAATTTGTGAAAAGTGAGCGTCTATCCTTCATCAATCCAAATGCGTGTGTAATTCAGCATAACATATGGTGTCTAAGGCAAGCGCACGTGATCTCTCATTTAATAATTTCGTATGTCTCATCGAAACAGTGAAGTCACTCGCGCGAAGTTCGATATTTTAATCATTTTAAGAGGGCTTTTTTCTTCATTCTACCACACTGCTGAAGAATTGACATGTTAGGTACCTGCTTTATTTACGGACAGTCCACAGAGTAGCAATATACAGATGTACGGTCAACAGTCTGCAAGAATTGAAGAGTACATTAGCAATACTGAGTCATAATATTCAGCCGCCATTAAAAATCTTCTCTCCTTGGGTTTCTAACTTTCCTTCCATCGCTAAACACTCACAGTATCGTTGTGAAACATGAACGGTTGAATTTTTCCTCTACATCTCTTTCGTTTATGTCACCCACACAAAAGCCATTTTTTTATTCATTAAAATCTCAATCTCTGGTCCGTAGGCGGAGTGCTAGTCTTACACCCAGATCTCCCGTGACCAGTCACACAAGAAAAATCTGAGTACTAAATGAGATCTACGCTTCATATATGGCAAGAATTCCGTGCTGATTTTTTGCTTCCTTGATTTACTTCATAGTGGGGAACGCTGTTGGTGCTTTGAGGGCTTCTGCATCTTCGTCTCTCCAGAGACTTGTGATGGTCTTTACTTCCAGGTAGAAGTTGATGCCCTGAACACAAATTCAAAAGAAAAGTCGATGTTTAGTAAGCCAGTAAAACAAAGCTCTTAGATAGTAAATGGGACCCAGTAGAAGTGAAAAGTGAAAATATGGGTGGCTGGCTCCCAATTCCGCTCCAGCTAGTATCATTCGCCAAACGTAAGGCTCTTTCATAAAGGGCTGAAATCACAATCCGAATAAGCCAAGCACACAGAAGATGAGAGGAATCCTACTCCTCATTTTCAATGACAATTTTGTTTTGAGCAAAGAAGCGAAATGAAAGGATTTTGTCTTGTACAGGATCAACAGTTACCTCCCCCCCCCCCCCACACGTTTGAGACATCTGTACCAACCTGTTTTCCGTAGAAGTGCGCATCTCCTAAGAAAGAACCACGTGAACCAGTGAAAGAGAACATGGGAAGGGGGACTGGGATGGGAACGTTGACACCGATCTACGATGAAAGTAAAAAAATCAAATAATCTTACCAACTGACACGTTTAATCAGAAATGATGGATTGAAAAGTGATCGAGAACTGCTTTGGTTTTGCTTTACTTCGATATGTGATTGGTTCAGAAAACAGCTCGCGCCACCTTCTCAACCAATGAGATCACAAACCGCGACTTGGTCACCCGCGTTTTCCCGCGCTTCAAGCAGTTTCCTTGTTTTTACTTAAAGTAAAGATTTCCTTCTTTGGGTTTTTTCCTTTGTTCTGATTTTGTAACACAGTAGAAATATACTTAAACACTTTTTGTTACTCACTTGTCCAACATCCACTTTGTGCTGGTATTTTCGTGCTATTGATCCAGAGTTTGTGAAGATAGCAGTTCCATTACCGTACGGGTTACTGTTCACAATGTCAATAGCCTTAAATGAAACGAACAAACCTCTGTTCAACCCACAAAATTGATTCTTTAACCCTTGAGAGTCAAAAAGGAATTTCTCCTTATAATGTTAATGCATTTTCACGCAGAAAAGTAATGAGAAGAAAGAAAATAATCAACTAAGAAATGTTTCTTGATTTTACATCAAGTTCTTAAAGCTAAGATTACGAGAAATGTAAAGACAGACAGTACGAATATTCCAGAATCAGATTTTGGTAATTAAAGGGACCCAGACCCTCTGATCTGTAGCGCGCCAACTGCTGTGCTACCGCGTCCCCTGGTGAAAGTGAAATTTTAAAGTAATGAAAATTGAACATTACATCATCCAGAGTGTCCACATTCATAGTGATAAGAACAGGTCCAAAGATCTCCTCCTTGTAACACGTCATTTCCGGCTGGAGTAACGAAAGAAACAAAAGGCAATCGTGAGCAGAGCAGTATAGGATGTTTCGTACTACCCTCGTTCCCAGGCTCCTTCTTCTTTTCACCTCCTAGAATAAGGGGGAGGGGAGAGGGGGGAAGAGGAGAGATCCTGGGAACTAGGTTGGTATTAAGAATAATACTGTTACGCTTGCGAAAGATGAGACTAGCATCTAGGGTTGTAAAATACGGAAGCGCGGGAAAAAGATGCAAAACAGAACCACGTACTGAGGAGTATGCCTCTGATGAAAAACTTAGGAAATTTTCGAACACGTGCAAAGCGCTTCTAAAATGTCACACCAACGAGCGTGCTTACTCTGATTGACTAAAACACGATAAGCCACCCATTTTCCCCTTCTCTTTCTTTTTTTTAGAGAAGTTACAGGCTAAATAGGCGTAAAACTATAGAAAATAAAGTGTTACTCACTGTGACATTGGACACGATGGTTGGAGCAATAAAATTTCCTTTTTCGAAACCTTTCACTACAAGGTCACGGCCATCAAGTTCAACCTGTCAAAAGATTAAATTGTCAGTTTAATTTGAATGAATCCTAATTAAAGAGAGAATTCCTCTGAATTCCATTCTATAAATTTTATGTGGTAAATTTAACCCTGTAACTCCCAGATCAAATTTGTAATTCTCCTTACTGTCAACCATACAATTCTTGTAATGTTAGTTCAGAGAATTTAGTATTGAATCAACTAATTATTCCCAAATTGATATTTTTCTTTATTCTCATCACCTGTCTGGTTGATATTGTACTGATATCGTAAGGAGAAATTCTGTTTTGGTCACTCATGGGAGTTAAAGGGTTATCAAATAAATTCCATGTTGCTGTGCGTCTGTTCAGTGATAGATCAAAGATGACGTCAAATTGTGGTAAGAACAAAAGAGTGGCATACAAAGCACAGTTGAGTGTGTCACTGATTTTCTGCGAAGGGGAAACCCAACTTCCTGCAGAAAATACATGATCGGCTGGTACTCTCCAGCGCAAAATCCAACATTTCTTTATTCTGGCGAGAAGGCATGTCTCCGCTAGAGAGAAATTCCTACCTTTGCTCCTTCCTCAATACCAGATTGCACCAGATTACAGATTCGTTCTTTCGATGCTGGTGAAATGACAGGTCCGAGATCTGTACCTGGCTGATGACCTAACGAGATGAAAGAGAAAAGACATGACGTTGAGGTGCAACATAAAGAGATGTACGGTAACGTAAGAACGCGTAACGCACCAAAACGTCACGTAACGTAACGTAACGTAAAGTTTAGTACAACACAGAGTAACATCACGTAACACAACAAACGTTACGTCAACTGAAGATGCTACAGAAATACAAACGAGGTAACATCACGATATAAAAAAACGCAGGATGCACAGCATAAAATGCAACAAAAGAACCCTTAAGATTAACAATAGAAATGTGCCTTGTACAAGGCCTAAAGATACATATTTCGAAACATTTTTAAAACAAGGTTCTTTTTGGACATATTACCTTCGTTCACCTGAAGTTGCTTGGCTTTGGCTACAAGATCAGGGATCCATTCTTTACTTTCTCCAACAAAAATCGCAGTTGTTAGAGCCATGCACCTCTGACCTGCGGCGCCAAATGCTGCTCCAACCAGCTAAAACATCATTTAAATATAGTATTGGTTATACCTCACTAAAACATTTTCATTTGTAGTTCTGTCGCAAGATGATTTTAATGGAAAGCCGAGTTGGAACAGTTTTCAACTAATTGTCGTTAGTGATCTGGAATTTCTCTGGTTTTCTTTTTCGTTGCTCTGTGATTGGTCGATAATTCGCATGCCATCTTTTTTAACCAATCAAAGGCAAAGCTAACACCATTCGCAACATCACCACTCACGTTTTCCCGCGCTTCGGGTAGTTTGCTTATTTCCACCATGAGTTCTCATCGGCTCACTGTGTTATCTCCCCTGTTCTGATTGGCCGTGCGATTACTTTAGTTTTGGTTTTACAAATCAGTCGAAAAGCGCTCTTAAAAAACGCCACAAACCTGGTTGATTGTGTTCTCCTTATTAGCATCAGGCATGATCACACCATGGTTCTTTGCTCCCTTTAAAAAAAACGACACGATAAACAGTCATTTCGGGAGGGGGGGAAGGGAGGTCA